TTGTGGCTGCTGCCATTAGACGTCGCCTTACTAGTTCGCTTGCTGCGTCTCCTAGAAAACGCAGTCTTATGAGTAAATCTTTTTCTTTTGCCATTTTTTCGGAGTGTGTTTTGTAGCTGTTGCAATTCTACTTCCACCGTTTCAGGAGAGCAGATGCGTCGTATTCTGGCTGCCAATCCCCAGACTAAGTTTCGTTTGAGATTAACAGGAACGAAACTTTGGAAGTTGTGACTAGTGTAATCGGCATGCGCTACAAGCGTTTCCTCAATTTCATTATGCAAATATGAATTCAAAGCCCAGAAAAATAGGACCTACCCGTAATTCTTTTGTACAAGCAAGTAAGAAGCGACACCAATAAGACCACTGGCAAGCGAAATGTGAAACTATCTTATACCCAATTCCAGGTTTTTTGAAATTAATTGCTTCTTACAATAAACACCCCAGAACTGCGTAACCTTATGAGCTTCCGGGGTCAAAAGCGGCATTTTGCAACGTGTTTTTTGGTACTATGGAGTGGAAGTGAGCTCTGGAGGCATGCAAAAGAAGCGTTTGTCCCTTCATCTTCTTTAAAGCGTGTCCACATTGTAAGTGATGCCGACACTGCCTAAAGACAGGCAACAGTTGTTCATACAAAACCCCAGTGCAACGAGAAGTAAGTAGTATTGGGACTGAGGTGGAATTTCTGAATTATTAGTCTTTGTCAGCCAGTTATAACCAGCGCCAGCCTCGCAGGTTCGTACTCATATATTTCGCCCATCAAGCGTTACTAAGGTTAACGCTGTCTTTGAGTCACGCGCTCGTGACCTTGTCACGATCGGGAATGCTAACCGTGCGTTCTCTGAACGTGGGATCTTGTGAGGCAGACTGACAAAGGCTAGTAAGCCACATATGGCCATATCAGTCGCGCTCATGTTTAACGGTACTCTCTGCATACTCATGGAAAAAGAAGACTGATACAGTACAAACATGCAGAATATCCTCGGCTATTAATAATTTTATCAACCAGTCAATTGCGTATAATGCCCTATGTCGTCTAGCCACCGTGATATTCTGATAGAAAAGTTGCTAAAATGGTCATGCAAGTGAAGCTGGTGTAAAGTGCTGGACAGTATTTTGTAAGCTGATTGGCGGAGGGTACACAGTGCAGGCCCAGGAAGACGGACCTTGCGGTCTATGGAGGTATTTGACACCACTGTCGTCAAAAGTACTTTTGATAAATATTTTTTAAACATTCAGGATAAAACTTATGAAGGAGGCCAAATGCATTAACCTCAGTTAAAAATTCAAAATAAAAACGCTGGGTGCTCTCCGACAGCTTACAAAGAAAAAGCAGACCCTACCTTGTAGCAGTAGACGCCGCACCACCTTCGACCATGTTCACTGAATTCAAAGTGCGCGCTAAAAACTAAACGTGGTTCAAATAGTCACTTCAAACGCGTTGGATAAAGGGGCGTCACGAAGTTAATGAAGAAAGGTGTTATTACATAATCCCCTTAAAACAACGACACCTTTTCTGCATAGGAATTAATTCCAGGTTCAGTACGCGTTAGTAACAACAGAGATCAGCAAGGATAAGATGGCTGATGGACGAAAGACAAAATGACGAAAACTGACAGTTTCGGATGCTGCCAGGCGTTAACATTTTAAGATATATTTAAAAAATATCTAGGTTAAGGGGCAAGGAAATCTATGTCGAAATAAAAAAAGAAGCCGTCCAGTGGTTATAGGAGTTGCTGTAATAGGTGTGGGCTCTTGGCCCTACTTGTG